GGGTTATTTGATCACTCAATCCATTTGTGGGACACTGCTGTGCACAATTGGCTGTCATGTTTCGCCCACAAATATACAGTCAATTCACTTTACAGTCTATTCTGTGAAGTGCTTTGAGATGTCTAGAAGACGTGAAAAGCTCCATATCAAATGCAAGAATTATTATTATTATTGTCAGGGTGAGATCAGGTGGGCCAAAGGGCTTCCTTCATCCAAACCAATCTTTTGATCCTGTGTTTCTTTGGAGCCACTTAAAACAGAATTGAAAATTCCTTCAAAATTTTGCATAACTATTTTTTCTTTTTTAAAAAAAGGATATTTCCTGCAATTCTGCAAGTTGCCTTTTATGGAAAATTCTTAAATTCTGTAGAAACTGGGATCCAAATTATAATAATATAATCCTTGCATTTGATATAGCGTTTTATGGCATTGTCGAGACATTAAGGCAGATCTTAAGAATTTTTCCAGAACGCTCTGTGATCTTCATAAATAAATAAATAATCCTAGCATTTGATGTGGTGCCTATAAACATAGCGTAACAAGGCTCTTTGCAGTTAATTAATTAACCGTGGCGCAGGTTGGCAGGAGGACCCCATAGTATGCGTTGGTTACGTCTGGAGTTTAACCAGTTAAAATCGTGTTGATTACAATTGCGAACACTGTCAAGCTTCCCGTTGCTTGTTCAGCTAACACCACCGTACGCATCAGGGCTTTGTCTTACACGGTTAATTTGTTCACCTGCAACATTCACAGTCATTAGACTTTCCTGAAAACCCTTTGAAATGTCCTCCTGATGCGAAAGACACCATATCAAATGTGATTATTAATTGCCGCCAATTGTAGTGCCTGTTTACCTGTTGGCAAATTTTAAATGTTACGAATGGTTTTAAGGGTCAAAGTGCTGCCTCTTGTTACTACGTTTTAAACCTTTCAGCTGAAAGTTTGAGGAAACGTGGGAGTAAGACATCTTGCGCAGAGCTCCCCCTAGTGTGATACCATGACATTCATGATAGAGTCTGCACTCGAAGCCCAACATTTCCCGTTGCCGGCGATACTGGAGTTGAACCATTGTGTGTGCCAACAGTACAATGCATCTCATGGTAATCCAAGGCCATTCACTGCAGTAATTCACTCCGGCAACAACAAATGCAGCGTCTACGTATGACATATGGCTCCGCGTTGCTCTCGCTATGTGCTAACAATTTACAATTCACATTTGCACAACACACATTAATAAAAATAATACTCATGATAATCCTTGAATTATATATAGTGCCTTATCACATTATCGAGACATCTTGAAGTGCTTCACAGCATATGCTGGATTAACTGTATATTTTGTGGGAAAAACGTGGCAGCCAGTTTGCGCACAACAGAATCCCACAAACAGCCATAGAGTGAGTGATCAATTTTTTTTATTTGTGGAATTGCAGGCCGGGAAACTGAGAAAAACTCCCTTCTCATAGAATCCTTAACATCCACCTGAACAGATAAATGGGTCCTTGGTTTAATGTCTCATCTGAAGGGCAGCATCAACAACAACGGCACCTCCGACAATACAGCACACCCCCAGCACTCTATTGGAGTGTCAACTTAGGCTATGTGAATTCAAGTCCTGAAGTGGGCTTTGAACCCACAACTTTTTGACTCAAGGCGAGAATACTACCACTGACATTGGGTATGTGGGTGTGGGATTGCTTCTGTCCTGTGCCACCAGCTAAACAAAGAAAAGCAAACTTGTGTACAAGAGTGGGGTTAATTTTCTTAAACCACATGTTCTTTGAAAACACATAAATAAAGGTGTTCTATTACCCTATTTTGCACCCTTTTTAACCACAACCGGGCTTTGGTTCCCTGCAGCCCCTCAGTAAAGCTAGACACGTTTTTTCCAAGTTAACAAGAATTTAAAGGAGAATATTAATGCGGTGCATGAACAGAATACATATGGGAGCCAGTGCTTTTAGGGTGAATCAAAGGCCACTCATACCAGGTTATGCGCTTGCCAATAGTCAGTGGTTCATCTTCTGTTCCCAAACCAGTCTTCTGTATTTGCCCTTTGTTTGATGTGTTCCCAGAGGCACAAGAATAACTTGCATTTATACAGCACTCTGCACATGTAAATAAAATGTCTGAGTGCTTTACAAGGACAGAAGGAATCAGATGCCAGGCAAAAGGAGAGGGGAGAAGTGGCAGATGACCGCAGACACATTCAGAGAAGTAGGTTTTAAGGTGGGACTTAAAGACAGGTAAAGAAGGGTGAGCCGGAAAGGTACAGGGAGGACACTCCAGAGGGCAAGTGCGTAGGCTCTGCAATCGACAGTGGCGCAGAGAAGGCGGGGAATGTGCAGCAAGCCCAAGAAACCACCGTGAACGATTGACTTGATTCTGATCTGAAATTCCATTGCTGAGCAGGGCACCTGGAAGCCAACTCAGCTCCAGGAGATCCCTTTCACTACCCCATCACCCCCTATAATAATAATAATAAGAAGAAGAAGAAGAAGAAGAAGAATATTCTTTGCATTTGATATACCACCTAATCGCGTCACTGTGGGGTCTCAAAGCGCTCCACAGGATTTACTAATTAATATTATATCTAATCTGCAGTCGGCTTGCCTGGAGATCAAAGTTAGGTGGTATCCTGCTAACTGGAGTAAGGATGTAATGGATGGATGTATGTGTTTGTGCTGGAGGGGGAGTAGGGAGACTGTGATATACACATTCAGATCAATTCAATAATAATAATACTAAAGCCACACCAGGAGAAACTCACTTCTCTTTTTGAATAGTGCTTGAAATAATGACCGGATCGTTACATTGACCCCAGTGTTACTGTTCAGTGCATCTGATTGTCAGTTGGTGCTGAACTGTGGCCAGTTTTGTGCTGTGAACTCGATGATGCTCACTGGAAACTCGGCTGAGGCTGACCAAACTCATTTACAGGACACCATACTTGTGACCCAGCTTCAATCTGACTTTGTGTGAGCTGGAATTCAATCCAGGTCCCTATGGCTAAAGGGCAGAACTCTGACTGACCAAAACCATCCAGCTCCAAATTTAATATGTCTTTTTTATGTACATGACCACAAGGTGGAATGTTATGATAATAATCATTACTTTTATGGGGAATGGGGAAAGAGCGAGAGAGTGGGACTGATTGGGTAGCTCTTCCAAAGAGCCAACACAAACATGATAGGCCGAATGGCCTCCTTCTGTGCTGTAATGTTCTATGATTCTATGATTTGATGTAGTGCTTTTCACTTTAGGAGAACATCTCTGAATAGGATATAATAACACTAATAATAATCATTGTATTTGATATAGACCCTTATGACTTTGTTGAGACATCTCAAAGTGCTTCACAGAATATATTGTAAAGTGGTGTGGCTGTGTGCTTTTGAGAGGAAACAGTAGCTAAATTGCTCACAGCAATGTCCCACAGAACAATCACAAAGAGAACAGTTAATTTTATCTGAAGGACGGTTGACCAGGACTTCGGGAGAAACTGCCATCTCTTTTCAAATACAGTAGTGTCACGGGATTGAGAGCACAGGATCGGAAAGATTGGGAATAGTTGCTAGATTTTAAATACTTTTATTTCAATAGGTAAGTTTACAGAAATGGGGGAAGGGAGGTACACAGACACAAATGAAGTAATAATGATAATAATAATCCTTGCATTTGATATAATGCCTTAACACGTCATTGAAACGTCTCAAAGGGCTTCACACAATATACTGTAAAGTGAATTGATTGTATTTTGTGGGTGAAGTATCCATACTGAGCAATGCAGGAGAGGGGGGGGTGGAACATCTTGAATGTTAAGTGAATTGATCCCGGATTAAACAGAACAAATAAATACATATATATATATGTAGAGAGAGAGAGAAACTTCAGAACATCTGAAAGAAACTGATTGTATTTTTACCATTAAAAATCAGTCATGAGAGGGGTATAATGATATTGTGTGCATTTCGCCCCCCTCGCCCCCTTCTCCCCACCAAATACACACAGTCGCTGTACTTTAGAGGACAATATACCCTGTGAAGCGCTAGGAGACGTCTCGACGTGATAAGACCCTACATCAAATGCAAGGATTATTATTATTATTATCACCATCCGGTGAAGCACTTTGAGACGTCTCGACGACATGATAAGGTGTTGTATCAAATGCAAGCATTATCATTATATATACATATATATAAAACAAAGTTGAATTGAGAGCTCGCTGCCTTGGTAATGTGGATTATCTGATGAAACCATCAGAAACCAGTGGCTTTGATGCAGTGCTGAAGGATGCACAGAGAGAGAGAGAGAGTCTCCACCTCTAGTGCCTCTCAGCCAGTGATGGGAGCAGAGAGGCCCCTTTTCTCTCTCTCTCTCTCTCTCTCTCACACACACACTCACACACTCACAGAGGCTCAGATTCAAAGCACAGCTCAGACGACTGGAGAAGGAGGAGGGAGGGAAGGAGAAGGAGGGGGAAGGAAAGCATCCGACTGACTCAAGTCACTTAGCAAACTAGCAAGTCTGTCTCTGTCTCTCTCTCTGTATCTCTCTCTGTCTCTCTCACACACAGATCAAGAGGACTGATGCCAACCCAGGAGCAACAGCATTGCTGAGCTGGAGCCACACTTCAGTCACTTGGCTTTCTTCTTGCTAAGCTGGGCAGAGAGTGTGTATATATATATATATATTGTTGCTGTTGCAGGAAAGTTGTTGGGACTCATCTCTGCGATTGGTGCTGTCAAAGTAGTTGCAGACGCTTTCTTTCTCTTTCTCTTTCTGAGTCTCTTAAGGGTGAGTGACTTGTCTCTCTCAGTCTGTCTGTCTCTCTCTGTCTTCTCTCAGTCTCTCTGTTTCTAAGTCTCTCTCAATCTCTTTGAGTGTCTCACTCTCAGTATCTGTCTCAGTCTCTCTCAGGCTCTGTCTGTCTGTGTGTGACTGTGTGTGTGTGTGTGTGTCTGTGTCTCTCTGTCTCTCTCTGTGCGTCTGTCTCTCAATCTCTCTCTATCTCTGACTGTAAAGAAGGGAAAGAGTTCAAAGAGACTGAAATCTTCGCTTGAGGACCCACCACACAGCCGTTCGAGGGTCATGGACAGCTAAAGCGATTTTATCAGTGCAGTATTTCTTTCCTGGGAGAAGAATACAGGAGAAAATCCAACCTGAAATTGACCAAGTCACAGACCCAGAGCTGTGTGTGTGTTGTGTGTGTTGTGTGTGTTGCAAAGAGACCCCTTAGACCCTCTGGATCTGAGTGAGGACAGACAGCAGCTAACAGTAACTACTGTAAAATACCTAACCATACAAAACAATAACGATACAACCACAAAAAAAGGATTGACAATGTGCTGCAAACCACTTCTGCTCTGCCTGTTGGTGTGGCTGCTGATAGAAGGTGAGTTTCCTCCCTCTCTCTCTCTCTCTGGTTATGTGTTGTTTGTAATGTACTTTTGTATGTCCTCCTGAACCTGTGAAGTTGTGAGGGGCGATTGCGGTGATAACAGGCAATCAGTGTCTTACCGTACAAACCACTTGAGAGTCCTAGAGTGGAGGACACCCCACCCACTCCCCATCACATAATAAAATTGGTCAATCAGTCCATGACTGTTTGTGGGACGCTGCTGTGCGCAAACTGGCTGCTGCGTTTCGTCCACAAAATACACTCTCGTTTCACTTTACAGCGTATCCTGTGAGATAGGCGCTATTTCAAATGCAAGGATTATTGCTGTTGTTACATTACGTCTAATAATCTGAGGAAGGCGTCCGGCTGGGTCACTCTCAAATAAAAATAATACTAATTCACCCCGATATCAGCGCCTTATCACATCTCGCAAACGTCTCAAAGCTTCTCAACATGATTTTACTGTGAAGTAGTGTTAGCGAATACGTACTTGCAGGCAACGTACTGGACGGCATGTATCTTTTAAAATTAATTGGGCGTATATTTTTTTTTGGGGGGGCATCTTTAATGGTGTGTGATTTAAAACCGATAGATACCAACGGTTGCACTTAAAAAGAAAGAAAAATGCAATGTGATGACTACAGCATTTTGTCCCACCCACCAACTCCCCTCCCCACTTTAAGTAACTATTAAAAACATATGGGCACACCTTTTATTTGGATGCAAACTTGTATTTACCCTTGACACAGACCCACATCATGCCTCACCCTGTTACCCCCACCTCTCCATACATACACGCACACACACACACACGCATGCACACACACACAAGTGAAGTAGTTGGCATCAATTTTTTTTAAGTGTAGCCAAAGCCTCTTCACTCACTTCTTTCTCTCGCACCACGCCTCCACCCCCCCCCCCCCACCCCCCCCAACCAACCACCTCACCACAATGTTATCACTTAGGGACAGGAGAAACTGAAAGAAAATTACGGGGTCTTGATTTTATTTAACTAAAGCTGCTCCGTCAATCGTGGGAGCGGAAAATGAGAGGGAGGGAGGGAGGAGAAACACATTTCAAATTGCAGTCAGATGCATTTTTTTGCATTCCACCCACAAAATATACAACATATTCCGTGAAACACTTTGAGACTTTTCAATGTCGTGATAAGGCGTTATATCACACACAGGCATTATTATTTTCCAGCGTCCTGGGATATCCTCCCAACGTGAAATGGTCGATACAAATGTACTTTGATGTTGTTGTTTCCGCGAACGAGCTTTGCAGAGTTCCTCCAAAAATTCAAATAAAACAACAACCTCCCCCCCCCCCCCACCACCACAAAAAACACAAGAAAGAGAACGTCTTCATTGCTGTTTCTCTCAGAATTTTAGAATCAAGTTTCAAAGGGGGAGGGATTGTAGGGTTAGAGTCGGGAATTGGTGGTGGTGAGTGGATGGGGGAGGTGTGGGTGTTGGGTGGGGGGGGGGTGTGTTTTTTTTTGTATTATCGGCGAGAGTTCTCGAGTGCAGTGTGGGTCCACTTTTCTCCTGTCAGATTTTACTGATGTTATTGATTGATGTTTCTGCAGACACCCGGTTGTTAATATCATGTCGGTTTCATTTCACCTGAGACTTAATAATAATAATAATTATCCTTGCATTTGATGCAGCGCCTTATCATGTCTCCGAGCTGTCGCAAAGCACTTCACAGAATATACTGTAAAGTGAATTAACTGTGTATTTTGTGGGCGAAACAAGACTTGTCTTTTTCACTGACTCTGTCTCATCATCTCCCCCCCACACACACGCACGCACACACATAAACCTTTCTCCCTCTCACCATCTCCCCCCCACCTCCCTCACCCCCCCCCCCCCCTCGACACATCATGGATTGTCGGAGAGAAAAAAAACTAGTGATTTCAAAGCAAAAAAAAATACGGTGTGTGTGGGGGGGAGAGAGAGAGAGAGAGAGAGAAGGGAGGAGGTTGCACTTTTTATATTTATGAGATGTGAAAAGTTCACACATACACACAAAAAGAGAGGTAATGTAATTTCGAACGATCGCCCATATAAAGTTTTAAAAAAAGAGACCATCTGTTTGAAATTACACCAACAACTTTTATCTCCCTGGTCGGACCCACATTGAAGTAAATCAAATCTGATAAAGAGATCAAACCGCATCCGGGCTCACATTCTACCTCAAGTCATTGCTACGACCTGACCCAGTTCACCCTACCTACCTCAAGTCATTGCTAGAGTTCACCCTATCTCACCGCAACCCATGTCGCTCACAGTCTAGTGTGTACTGTAGGCAAATGTCAGTGTGGTGAAGCTATTAAATGGTCTGGCTGTCTGGCTGTCTAGCCCCTGCTTTCACAGACAGATGTAGCTACACTATCGGTAGTTCAGGAGCACTCTAAAAGTGCAGTTGTTACTGAATGTCGTCTTGTTTTTTCAAGGGTTTTATATCCTTTGCTGTTGGAGCTTCAGTTTAAACAACAACCACAAATGACACTTGTATAGCGCCTTTCATGTCGGGAGATCGTCCCAAGGTGCTGGAAAGTCAAGGACAGATGAGGATCTCAATACAAGTGTGTTTCCCAGTGTACTGGTTCCTTCCTGTTGCAGTTTACAGTACGCAGATGGGATAAGGACATTTTTTTCCCCTCAAAAAAGCAGTGAGTGGTTTTGCCAATGTAATAGAATGGGTTCGATCCCAGAATGAGTCGTCTCTCAGAGCAATATCACTTGCCATTCCGCAACATAAGATGTTTATTTTTTTTCCTTATTAAGTGATAAAACAGCTAAGTTTAATTTAATTTCCCCCCAATAAAGTGATGCACGAAGACTGGAGTAACATTAAAATGGTCTGACTTGCAAATGATTCCAAGTCAACTTGTACACCGTGTAACAAAAAAAATTTGAGGTTCTAATCATCTCGAAATGCTTAAGGTTTAAAAGATTATTGCAGAGGGTGGGTGATCGTTGCCCAGCTCCACTGCCTCTCCATTCCCCAGTGGATACAATACAAGCTCCTCACACCCTCCGCCCCACCATCGGATGTCGCACTTTCAGCCACTACACCCCGAAATTCTGGAACACTCTCCCTCAGTCCGTCTGCCTTGCCCCCTCTCTCCACTTTTTCAAGTCCTGCCTGATGACCTTCCTGTTCGACCGTAATTACGGCCACTTCCCCCCACCCCTGGCTCGGAGTTGGGCTCCATCACTGTTAAGCGTTCTGAGTCTCTACCATGCGTGGAGGGCGCTATATAAGTACAAGTTGTTGTTGTAGTCCTTACTTTAAAATTCTCACTTTAAATTCCCTCCTTGGGCTCCTCCCCCCCCACCTCTGTGAGTGACCTCCTGCCACCCTGTTCATCCGCTCAGCAAACACTGACCTGCTTCATATTCCTCACCCAATCGGCCCCATCATTGATGGGAGAACTTTCAGCCATTCTGCCCCCACTCTCTGGAACTCCATCCCGGAGTCCTCTGCTTTGCCCCCCAACCTCGCCACCTTGGGATTGTATATATTGTCTAAATACTGTCAGTCTATGGTCTATATGCTGACAATCTCAGATTGGATCAGAGAGGGTGGAGGACAGGGGGGGTTATGAGTATGGCTGAAGGCACGGTTGAAGAGGAGGGCTTGAGACGTGCCTTGAAGGAGGCAAGGGATGGAGTAAGGCAAAGGGAATTGGGATAAATTCCAAACAGTGGGAGCAGAGAGGCTGAAAGCCCAACCGCTGATGGTGGGTCGGGCCAGGCATGGCAACATGGAGCAGGCCTTGGACAATGGCGTTCAAACTATGGTATTTCTCGATCGATTGCTGAATAATTGATATTCTAAGCACTGAGTGTGCTGAAGAATGCCACTGAAGAATGCACATTTAATGTTTAGAAATTTAACATCACACATTGCTAGTTAAGAAATCTGTTAAGAAAAACAACAACAACTTGCATTTATATCACACCTTATACACGGGATAGCATCTCCGAGCTTGACACAGAGTCAGGGAGAGAGGAGAGATGGCAGTAGGCAAGTTCGAAGAGGAAGCTCTTTTAGGTGTGATCTGAAGACAAGGCAGGAGGAGGTAAGGTAGAGGGATTGAGGCAGAGAGTTCCATAGTTTGGGAGTTTGTTCCATGATAACAAACTGTATATTAGATCCTATTATCCCTGCCTGTGTGTCAGTCACTGAGTCAAACTATTGTCAGATGAGGGGCCTCTCTCAGGGAATCCCATTTTCTTAACTGAAAAATAATTATTTCATTTCTTCCTTGTTTTTCTCTGGGTTTAAACAATGGCAGTATAAGCGTAGAGAGACATTGTCCAGTTTTGCACCATTCTTTGGGCATCGGAGTGAATTTGTGCAGAATTTCAGCTATTTTGCCCCTACCCCTGTACCTCCCATCTGTAAGGGTTAATTTAAATTTGTCACCCTAGGTGAAGTAAGGACTGACACAAATGTTGGACAAAAATATAGATGTTTATTAATTCAGATTTATAATGGTTATAAGTAATTAAAAGAATACATCCAATTATGCTTACGCATCCATGTTTACTGTAGTTCACAACGATTTCAATTGACCAAACCAAATGCTGCAGCAGAGATGGAGGGGCAATGTCCAATTTAATGTTCATGTTAATGTTTCTTTGTTAATCCAAATATCCATCAAAAGGTATCCAAAAATTGTTGTACGTTTCTCAGTTCGATCATCCAAAAGTATCCAACTTTTATTGTACGTTCAGTTCGATCACTCGAAAGTATCCAGGTATTATGGCACATCCAATTCGATTCCCCTCCTTCTTCAATTCTCTCTTCTGATTCTCTTCTGAATCGATCTCCGTTTATACAGTTCATTAGGTGACTTTTTACCTATTGTTTTTTGCAAGATGGTTCCTTTGTGAAAACAAATACAACACAGTTCTCTCTCCAGCTGCAGACCATTTTTCCATGAGAAAATGACTGACAAGGACCAAAAACAAGTTTGTTGTTTATAAACAGTCTTTTGTTTCTTCTGCGAAGCTAATCACAACCAGCTCCCATCATATGAGATTGATCATATGTCTCAAATATATAAACATCACTAATATAATTTGAGATATTGTGTAACACATTAATTACAGAATCTTACACATCCTGAACTCCTCTGCCTCACCACCCTCTTCTCTATCTGTCTTTGAAAACCTCTTGAAAGCCTACTATTTCAACTGTGCCTACGGTCATCCTTCCTGCTCGGTGTCTGGATTGTCTCTGTAAAGTAATTTGAGATCTTACGTTACGTAACAGGCCCTTTTGTAAATGCATGTTTTTGTTGAATGTTCCCTTAGTAGATGATAAAGGAAGCAGAGTACAATCTGCCCTCGGGCTGTTTATACCTGTGCTGTGGGGAAGGAGAGGGCTCAAAGAGAATTTGAGTATATCCTTTAAGTCATTGCACGTTATTTGAAGCTGCTGTAGATACGAGAGGGGGATGGGGGGGGATTTAAGGGCCAGTTTAGGAACAAGTTATTTCCAGACTCAATGAGTGAGTGACAGGGCATGTGATTCAGTATTGCAGTTAGCAAACAGAAATTGGTTTGAAATGTACTCACTTACCATTGATGCTGGTGGAAGGAATTTCAACTTTCCTTTAGATCACTGTCAATTCACAGGCACTCAGCATCAATGGGCATCAGTGGGTGTATTGTTCATGTCTGCACAGTTTGAAGATATATGTTTTGCACCCCCCCCCCCCCCACCCCCTCCCCCTTTTGTTGATCTGTTGCAGACGAAACATCGAAAGAATTGAACAAATGAATGATAGATTTTGATCTCTCACAGAAAATAATTCCAGCAATGATGCCAGTCACTGGGGGAACAAGTTCAGCAATAGCAATGATGTTTTCCTCTCTCCCTCCGTTATTCCCCAGAACTCTCTGCTCCATCTACCCCCCCCAGTTTAGTAATTGGCATTTACTGTGGGAAAAGTACTGGATGCCCACAATCATTCTCCAAAACAGATTTTAACATAAGGATTGTGACTATGGGAGTGTTATATTTGTGTCTGATTACAGACTCCCAACCAATGGAAACAGCCTATTTTATGGAGCCAACTTTAAAAAAAGGGGGAAACACTGTTTTCTACTGATGCAAAACATCGTGGAAAGGAATGGGGTACTGACGAAGGGTCGTGGACCCAAAATGTTGACTCACTTTCCCTTTTCCATAGATGCTGCCTGACCTGCTCAGTGTTCCCAGCGACTTCTGTTTTTGTTTCAGGTTTCCAGCGTCTGCAGTATTTTGGAAAGTATATGGAAAGGAATGGTTTGGCTGTTAGAGCAGTAAATTACGACAAGCATAACTGCAAATTTATGCAGTAGAAGTGTATTCAAGAGTCCAGGAAGAGTGAGGAATTGGGATTAAGGTTGATGGTTTCTTGGAGAAGCAAACACCAATGTAGAAAAGTGGACCCAATAGACTCCTACTGTGTCCATTGCTATGGTTCTATGGATCGTACATTAAACACAGGATAACGTGCATTTACAAGGCACTAATGCAGAAGGATTGAGAGGAAGGTCAAGTGGTTTAACAATACTGGACGATCTTAACTCCTTAGGAAGTGTCACAAACAAACTTAACTTTAAATGTGGTACAGACTGAAGCTCAGAGAAAGGAAAGTGGACAGTACAGTTCAATTACCTGACACAGTGGGAAATCATGTGGAATTGTCTGTATGGTTCACACCTTCACTATATTTTATAGTAATATCCAATGAAGCACTTTGAGATGTTTCAATGACCTGATAAGGTGTTATGTCAAATGCTGGGATTATTAATTATTATTATTATTCCTGGTAATTCGATCCAGCAGTTGATTTCCCTCTGTGTAATGAATAGCAAAATAAATACTGAAAATATTTCCTTGTGCCTGTCATAACTTTGCCCTCTATAGTCCTGTAACCCATGACTTGTCTGGCTGCTGCTTTTTAGAACCTGAAAGTATTGTTCTGCATTTACTTTCTCTTATCGTGTTGAGCATCAAAACTATCCAAATGCTGAAAGTTGCATAAAGAATCATAGGAATGCAAACGCGGGCCTGATGAAAGCACAAATAACTAGATGGTGCAGATATCTGCATATAACGTTGTTGTAAATCCATCTGTAACGCAAAGTAATTCATTTGGTACCTAACATCACTGTAATTTGCTCACAAGTCCTGCAATTACCCTGTGATTTGGAACTCTATCCTACAGTCCCTTCGCCTTGCTCCCTTTCCTTGCATCCTTCAAGGCACATCTCAAGATCCTCTTCTTCGACCGTGCTTTCAATCACCCTCCTACCCCTACCTACCTTCCCTGCCCTCCACTCATCCTGATCCCAACCCCCTGCTCGGGTCCAAATCACCAACTATCCAGTGCCTTAGGACAACAACAAGAAGATTGTATTTATAGAGCGCCTTTCACGTCGGGAGGACGTCCCAAGGTGCTGGACAGTTGGGTCGGGACCCGAGCAGGGGGGAAATGGTCAGGGTGAGGTGAGGGAAGGGAGGGAGCAAGGCAGGGGTAGGGAGTCGAGAGGGGAGGTGAAGGCACGGTTGAAGAGAAAGGTCTTGAGACCGGCCTTGAAGGAGGAAAGGGAGGAAGCAAGGCGAAGGCACTGGGGGATGGAGCTCCTCCCAATGTGAAAGGCGCAATCCAAATGTAATTTGTTGCTGTAGTTGTGATGCTCCAGCCTGTGTGTTGAAGAGTTTCTGACACGGAGATGTGTCTCATGGGTTTTTCCTCAATTCATTAACAATATGAGTACAGAGCGTTCCTTCTAATTGCAGCAATGGGAGATGCCTCATCTCTACATTACACAGAGGGGACGTCAAGCAGATCCATCGAGAAGATCCTGGGCAAATTTGGGAAAGACACTCAATGCCATCACATGTTAAAGCACTTGTACAATGGAGCCAGGATCACCGTGCAAATGCCACCTCAGATTGAGAGCCACTGGGTTTCCACAGGGTGAGTAATCCACAGTTATATTAAAAATAATTCCACCTATGTGATCACTAGATGCAAATAATACTTTTATAAAAAATAATAATAATATAGTCACTCAATCCACGACTGTTTGTGGGACACTGTGTGTGCAATTAGCTGCCACGTTTCGCCCACAAAATATAGTCAATTCATTTTACGTTTGCTTTGAGACATCCCAATGACATGAGAAGGCGCTACATCAAATGCAAGGATTATTCGTAGAAGTACAGGGAAACCAAAAAGTCAGGATACCATTACAAAATCTAATAAGTCTTAAAGAATTGATGATTTTTTTTAGATAATAAGCTAGTTATCACGACTTTTTGGTCACCCTGTAGTATTTGATCATAGTGAATAGAAAATGTCAGCACCGTGTTCTCCTTACATCCATTGTATTCAGTCCCATTAGCTGAATATCTCTACAGTAGCTCTTTACTCCTGTTAAGCAGTTCCTTTGTTGGCAAAGATGACGTGCTCTATAGAGTTTACAGCTGGATTTGCTCCATGATACCTGTGGCAAGAATGATGTTATTTCAGCAATGTAGCGAACAGCAAGTACAGCAATAAAAGTGTGAATGCCAGACACTCAAGCCTGGTTTATAGTGCTGGAAAGAAGACAACATCCCTTTCAGCAGTACAGTAAGGATTTCTAGTTTTCCAATACTAATTGGTCCTGTGGATGGTTGAGGAGAGTTCTGTGCACCCTCCACCAAATACATCTGCAGAGTTTTGCTAACCTCTACTCTGGCTCCCAGTACCTCAACAGACCGCCTTCAAGATCCTTATCCTGACCTTCAGATCCTTCACCATCTTCCCTTCCTTTAAAATCTCCTCCAGCCTTGTTCTTTCCCTTTATCCTCCGAGGGCTATTTCAACCCCGGTCTACAGCATATTGCTCCTGCACTCCCAACTACGAGAGACAAAATCTTCAGCCACTATGTTTCTACTCTCTAAAGGCACCCCCAAAATCCCTTCACTTTTCTTCTTTTTTCTCTGCTTTAAAAACTCTTAAAACCTTCTCTCTTTGGCTGTGCCTTTGGTGAAGTCCCTCAAAATTCCCTCTTTGCTCCATTTTGAGGCAGGATGGGTTCTGGGGGAATGCTGCGTTTTCGAAGGTGCAGTCCTTTGGATGAGACGTTAAATCGAGATCTTGTGGATGTTCTGTGCAGGTGGACATTAAAGATCTGTTAATTTTGTGAGATTTTGCTGTGGTATAAATAGGCTGCGTGTTTGACTAGAGATAAGCAGTCATTAGGTTTGGCAGTAGTTGCCACTTTGAGATTTTTCGACTTTCTAGGTGCTAAATCAAACTCAAAGTTTATTATAACTAATGCTTAAAGGCAGTGAGAATTGCCACTTCAATTATTGTTTCTCTCCACAGCTGTGAGGTGAGGCCAGGGCCCGAGTTCGTGACAAGATCCTACCGGTTTTACACAAACAACACCTTCAAAGCTTATCAGTTCAACTATGGAGACAATCACTGCACCAGGCCCACCTACACCCTCGTGATCAGAGGGAAGCTCCGTCTGCGTCAGGCGTCCTGGATCATCCGAGGAGGAACCGAGGCCGATTACCACTTACACAAGGTTCAGGTAATTTGCCACAACAAGGTGACAGTTGAGGAGCTGAGGCTGCGGTTGAACAGGACCTGCCCAGGCTACCCGCTGGGAGGTTGGGAGCCCAACGTCAGCTATGACCTGTGGAGCGATGAGACGGGCTGCGATTGCTTTAGGGCGCTGAACTTTGCCATGCACGAGCTGCAACTCATCAGGGTGGAGAAGCAGCACCTGCATCACAATCCGGAGCACATGATCCAGGAGCTGTTCCTGGGGGACATCCACACTGATTGGACCCAGAGAATGTACTACAGACCCTCCAGCTATCAGCCCGCACTGCAGAACGCTAAGGTAACTCACATTTCAAACGCAGTAAGATTGAGACCAGATGAAAGGGCGTTTCTTAAGGTAAACAGGGGGAAGCTATTTCCACTAGTCAGTGAGTCGGTAATTGGAAGGCATCATTTTTCAAATCGTTACCAGAAAAAAAGGGGAGAGTTCGGGATGGAGAATGGTTTTATGCAGAAGATGCAGAAGGGTTATTAGTACATGGAATGCTCCACCACAAGCAATAGTTGAAATAGAATCTATAATAGCTTTCAAAAGGTAATTAGACAAATGTTTGCCAAAGGGAAACATATGAAGGGGTGTGGGGAAGGGGCGGGGAGTGGGATAAACACAAAGTACTTTTGAAACAGTTCCTTTTAAGAATTTATTTTCAGAAAAAAATCTTTAAAAGCAGTAAAACAAAACCCCACAACAATAATGCAGCATCAATCATCTTTACGTTTGGTACAGCACCTTTCACGTTGGGAAGATGTCGCAGAGAGCTTCGCAGGATTTACTGTAAAGTGGAGTGACTCTGTGTTTTGTGAGCAGACTGTAGTAGTAATCCAAGATATTGTTGATACTTGACCAGCTTGTGTGGCGAGTCAATTAAACTTGGTTGTATAGTCATGTCCTCAACCCCATGAACCAAAGCTCTTAAATGGGTAGAATGGTCCTAACTAATGTATGCAGTGTCATGTAGGAACTGGTAATGAATACCATATACACAGGATTTGCTCACAGAGCAAATTCAGTATCAGAGAAAACCATGCTGTTTACTGAAGAGCCCTGATCAATAGTTTTCTGGCCTTTTTCCCACTCAACAAATAATAGTCATAATAATAATGTTTGCTCTTCATTAGCGCTATAGCACCAAAATGTCTCAAAGTGCTTCACAGATGAAGTTGACAAGGTTGGTGACTGGATATCTGTACAGGCAGACATGGTAGACATATACACAGAGCAAAGTCTTACAAACAGCATGGAGGGAGTGACCAATTTTATTTGGGGGAAAGTTGGCCAGGGCACTGGAAGAAACTCCCTTTCCTTTTCGAATAGTGCCATGGGATTTATAACATCCACCTGAACAGGGACAGACAGGACCTCGGTTTAACATCTCAACTGAAGGCATCCCAAAAAGGCATCGCCTCCCCGAGTATCTCACTGAGGGTCAGCGTGATCTGAGCTCAATTCCTAATGTTGTTCCTTGGGTTTAGGAGCATGGGGACAGGAGCCGGCCATTCAGCCCATCAAGCCGGCATTTTTATTCGATCAGTTGTGCTCACAAGCGGAAGAAAATAAAAGTTTATAAATCGAGCGCTGGAGGAAGGGGGGAACGGGAAGTGAAAGCAAGCGGAGGGAGGGTGTCCGGGGGGTAAATTTAATTAAAGTGATTAAGTGATTAAAGCACAGAAATCCATACTGTAACTCATCCACAGAAAACAACTATAAAAGATCCCAGCCTTAACCTTCAGATAGTGAAGTCTGATCCCAAAATAGCAGTACAATACCCACCGACCGTGACAGGGCACCAAATATGGTGTTCTCTCCCTCGGGTTCAGATGTCGGGAATGAAATCCTGTGATGATTTGAGGAAAGTCGGCATTTTCCACTGTGTAATCAAGCAGGTGTGGTGCAGATGCACTGGCTGCTGTCGTTCGGGATGCCCAAATTTGGAAAAATACAAGCTAATGACTATCCCCATGCTGAACACCTCCCCACCTACCACCGCCCCGTCTCTCTCTCACACACACACACACACACACTCCTCAGTCTTCCCCTGCCCATTCTTACCAGCGGCAGATGTGGAGTTCTATAGTTTAGTGGTTAGAGCACTCGCCTAGCAAGCAAGAGGACCTGGGTTCAGACAGGGCAAAACGATGGGCAAGTTTCGTTACTCCACACGCCTCTGTTTACCAAGCAGTAAGCAGGAACCCGGTTGTTGGTAAAATTACCACCGGTGGATCGCTTTTCCGGGGGTAATTATACATGTACATTATGTTGCAGCAAGATCTTTGCTAACTCTGCTAACTGGAAAATAGGATCTCAAGACGTTCAGGTCCAACCAGTCTGCTAGTTGAACTGACTGAAACTCAAACTTAAAACCTCCGTATGCAATGGTTGTCCTAAAGCTGCTTCACCAAAACAACAGGCCCACGTCACAGTGCAGCCCAAAACACTATTAGCTAATTTATCTAAACAATAAGTATTGCACTTGTCACTCTGACTGCTTGTCATTCAAAGTATGTTCACCCCCACAACACCAGCCCTCCTCCCCTTCTGACCCCCAACTTCCAGCTCAGGTCCAAAATCCTTGATTGTCCAGCACACAGAGATGTCTTTCCGACGTGAAGGGCGTTACACAAGTGTAATTTGTTGTTGTTGTGGTTGTTCTTACCATCCACAATGCTCGACATTGTTAATAATAATAACAATAATAACCCTTACAATTGATATATCACCTTATCAAACTTTCACAAGATTTTGTTGTCAAGTGTACTAAACTGGGACCTTGTATTTGTAAGTGAGGGTGAATTCTCATGCAAATCGCCTAAAACTCTCCAGAACACAGGATGAAAGATTTGCAGTTTAAAAAGAAGTCTTTATGTTCACATGTCACTTCAGCAAAACGTAACTTATAAACATAGAACAAAAGCACACTTGCAGATCTAGTTTAGACATAAGTCCCTCAGCTACTGTGTCACAATCAATGCATTTGATATACCACCTTTTCACATTGTTGAGACTTCTCAAAGTGCTTTATAGGATTTACTGTTAAGTGTAGTGATTGTGTATTTTATAGGCAAATTCAGCTATCAATTTGTGCACAGAAATGTCCCACAAACATGAAATATATGACCAATTTTATTTGTGGGATTGTTGGCCAGAACTCTAGACCAAACTCCCTTCTGTTTTCGAATAATGCTGTGGATCTTTAACCACCACCTGAGCAGGCAAACGGGATCTCAGTATAACGTTGTATTCGAAAGAGCTGTGACAACGCAGCACTCCTCCCAACATTTCACTGGCGGTGACCAGGTGAACTCAAAGTCACAACGTGGGGCTTGGAACCCACAACCTTCTAACTAATAGAGACATAACAATAACAACAACAAGATTACATTTGTATAGCGCCTTTCACGTCCTATCAGCTGAGGAAGGCTGACACCCGAGTTGTAAAGTCGGTCCTAAATACACAACTAAAGGGCATTCAATTGATAGAAGAGAGCCTGTTGAAGTCCGTTAGGATATTTACTCTGGACAGTGTAGCAAATTCACTACTCTGAGCTACATGATATTCAACTCATTTTGGTGAATTTTGCTGGAACAGTCACTATGGATGTATAATTTATGATCGTGCAATTTTAGCTTAAAAACAGTATTATTATATTGTGAACGTGTGTAACTTTCCTTTACACTTTTCTTATTAAAAATTGCAAAGTTGCCTACCTCTGTATTGTTTCGACACAATACAAAGTTCACGTGAAACTGTGTTAGTTTATCTTTAAACACAAAGGGGACAGATTCACCAAGCTTTACTGAATGGAGCAGAACAGCCACATACACCAGTTGCCCATGTGGAGTAAAGTACCTCTATGTTTGATGTTGTTTCCCACAGTAATGTACACGCATACCCACACAAGCTGACTCACCAGCAGCTGGTTATGAGAACACTGATGGGTAAAACCTTCTGCTTTCTTGTTTATATGACCCTTAGGATACAAGTACTGTATGTACAGTAGTTGGCCATTCTTCATGGGAGTTTGTGCAAGAGTATGTATTACTCAATGTTTCCTAGAAGCCTTACATAACATATGTTTCATATCTGTATAAATAACAGGGGACAATCAATACCTTTATGCATAAGACTTTACAGTCAAACCATTATTAACCAATGATTCATATGTTCCTATCAACATATTCATGTTTATTCCAAGGCAAGTGTAGGCCCTGTCCTGAATCTTGTGAGCCAAAGTCATCATGGCCAAGGTAGTTCTAACTGGACAATGACCTGGGGTTTAGAGGTATTAGGGGATAACGGCAAAATTGCAGGGTTTTGAGATCAAAAGTTGTGACAAGATCGAATAAACTGGTAAAGTTTGTGGAGTCCTGTAGCTCAGTGGTTAGAGCACTCGCTTTGCAAGTGAGAGACCAGAGTTCAATTCCAGGCAGAGGGCGAAACCTTGGGCAAGTTACCTTACTCCACACGCCTAATAATAATCCCTCCAAAAAAAAATCCCAAAACAATAATATATTGGTCATTTTCAATCTACAACTGTTTGTGGGACATTGCTGTGCGCAATTGGCTGCCGCGTTCGCCCACAAATATACAGTCAATTCACTTTACAGTGTGTTCTGTGAAGCGCTTTGGGACGTCCTCCCGACGTGAAAAGCGCTATATAAAATGCAAGGATTATTATTATTATTATTAAAGGAACAGGAAGGAAGGGCTAAGGGGCCTCTTCCTGTTCCCTGTTTTCCTATGTTCCTAAGGCCAATGGCAAGTGCAAGAGCATCGGACTGGTAAGATGAACGGTTATTGATAACACATTCACAGCTTAGAGTGACAACATGTTGGAACATAGAGCCATGGAACGTCCTAGCACAGGCCATACAAACGATCAATTAGGCGCTAATGTTTTTCCTCCGTGCAAGCCATTCCAATCCCACTCCCCCACTTACTTCCCAAAACCCCTTAATATTCTGCCTCTAAGAGCATCGATCCAAACCCCTTTGAGAAGAACTGTGGGGCTGTGCCTCAGTAAACGGTTTTGGAAAAAGAATTCCATGTTCCGGCTGCTCTCTGCGGAAACGAACATTAACATAGCTAGGAGAGTCCTGTAGCTTAGTGGTTAGCGAGCTCACCGCACAAGCAAGAGGACCTAGGTTCAATTCCCGGGTGGGGTGATACCTTAGGCAAGTTTCTTGATTCTTCTGTTTACCTAGCAGTAAGTGAGAACCCGGATTGCTTTCCGGGGGTAATAATCCCTTCAAAATAAATAAGAATATTTTTTTTTGGTTACCCCAACCACGACTGTTTGTGGTACACTGCTGTGCATAATTGGCTGCCCACAAAATACACAGTTAATCCACTTTATAGTTTATTCTGTGAAGCGCTTTGAGACGTCTCAACAATGTGATGGAGCGCTATATTAAATGCAAGGATTATTATTGTTAGTATAGTGAATGGCATAACATTTAATAGCAAGTGTTTTACAACGTGTCTTCTTCACTCTTTCAGAATCACGGACATTCCTGTATCACTTGCCGGATCATCTACCGATCGGATGAGCATCGGCCCCCGATTCTGCCCCCGAAGGCAGACCTGACGGTGGGGCTGCATGGCCAATGGGCCAGCCAGCGGTGTGAGGTGCGGCCAGAGGTGCTCTTCCTCACCCGGCACTTCATATTCCATGACAACAACAACACCTGGGAAGGGCATTACTACCACTTCTCTGATCCTGTCTGCAAGCATCCAACCTTCACCATCTACGCCAAAGGACGTTACAGCCGAGGCATCCCTTCGACCAAAGTGATGGGTGGAACTGAGTTTGTGTTTAAAGGTAATGAGCTACACAACTGGTCTTACACCTCTCAAAGCTACAGGAGCCTCTTTACTCTGTTAAAAGCATCAACATCGTAATGTGGAACCTCCACCATAAATCTAGCATTTAACAGTGCGGTGCAAGGCTCTAGTGCAGTGCTGGCAGAGCATTGGAATGTGAGAGCTGACGTCCTTTGGATGAGATGTTAAAGCGAGGTCTATTCAGATTGAATTAAAGATCTTGTGGCACTATTAGAAAACAAAAAGGAGATTTTCCCGCTGTTCTTTTCCATAAGTGTCCTAACCAACAATCCTGCAGGTAAATCAGTCATTCACTTCATGGCTGTTTGTGAGACATTGCTTTGTGCAAAATGGCTGCTCTATTTATCTACAAATAAACAGTCACTACACTTGATAGTGATTATCTATGAAACCCATAATGACTTTGAGATGTTTTGATGTTATAGGCACTATATTCAATGAAAGGAGTTTTTGTTTATTACCGTATTATTGTAAATGTTCCTCTGGCTCATCAGTAAGGCCATTTTTAAGAGTTTTAAGCAGAGAGTGCAAAACCTCAATGTGAAAATTTGTAACAGTGATCTGCAACATGCTCTTATATACCACCTAGTTTCAGAGCAGAAGTCAGCTGCCGTCTTAGAAAAGGAGTAGATTATGGTCTAAGTAGTCAAAAATAAGGTCTGCATGGATATGGAAGTCCTCTGTTAATATGTACTCGAGAGAACTCGAATCGAAGAAAACAATTGAGTTTAAAATGTTAACAGTAAAAANGGACAATGGCAGAACTGTCCTAGTTTGGAAAAATGAGAGGTGTAAAGAATGACTTAATAAAATTAGGATTTTTTCACTAAAGTTAAGAGGGGTCAAGGGATCAAGACCTAATAGAAGTCTTCAAGATTAGGAAGGGTAAATAGCAATAGATTATTTCCACTGGTCAACAAGTCAATAACAAGAATTTAAGAGGAATTAAAGGGGAAGTTTGTAAAAATCTTTACACAGAGGTTGCCTGCACTATGGAATTCTCTGCCGTTGTTAAGGCAGTGTCTGTTGATTATTTTTAAACTTAAATTAGAGGAGCATGAAAGGGAATCGGGGAAACGAGCAGAAGAGTGAGATTTAATTAACTGATTCTTTGGAAAGATTCGCTAGGCCAAATAATAATAATAATAATAATAAACAAATGGCCTCTTTCTGTGCTGTAACACACTATCATCCAATGGTATACCAGTATCCCCAAAAATGTTTTTACTGGATGTAAGAGCTGCCCAGGATTGGTGGAGAGAGGGAGCGAGCAGGTGGGTTGGGGAAACAATCATAGGAATAGCATTATCAAGGGTAGCTTATAGCACAAGGCAAGCACTCAGTGAACAAAAGTAAATCAGATAGAAATGCAATCAGAAATTGGACATTCTTTAAAAAAAAGCAAGAGAGAGAGCGAGAGAGGAGGACGGAGGGGAAGAGGAAGACAGGGTACAGAAACAGGTACTTCAATTGCAAAACTCACTTTCATTTTGCTGATTTAATGCCATGAAATTTGAATCCCACTTCGAGTTTTCCAAGTACAGCAATGTGACCCATTAGTGCAGGTTGTGGCTTTAGACAGTTTAATTAAATTTCTGATGTATGTCCATATTCTCTAAACGATGGCATTTTATATTCCATGAAATCGAACTCCATTTCCACTACACTCCTACTCGCAGCTGACTAGACTTCCCCAGTGCCAGGCAGTTTCTTGAAACATTCATTGGCCTTCACTTAATTCTTTGCCTCTATGATTTAGATGCGGTTGGAAAGCCAGCCACCACCAGGGCAACTAGTGTCAGCGTAGTCTCCTCGAAGCTATAAATACAAACCACTCACCTGCCCTCACGAAGCAAAGGGTTTGAACACCAGGGAGGTAAGACACAGAGTGGGAGGAAGGAAGGAAATCAGGCAGAACCTTTCTAAGCAAAGGATAATTGACTTGTGGGATATGTTACCATAGAAGGGCATTGAAGTGGATAGTAAAAATGTGTTGGAGAGGAAATTAGATGGGTTTCTTGAGAGAGTGGAGGGAGAATGATGGCGCGGTGAGATCAGCTATAATTGGGCCGAATGGATGTTTCCTATCAGAAGAAAGAACTTTCATTTTGTACCATTTTAATCAAGTTGAAACGTCTCAAAGCGCTTCACAGAATCGCAGTAATTACTGTCAAAGGTCGTGACTGTTTTTGTAGCCAATCGGCGGCAGTCAATTTGCACACAGCGAGGCTCCATAAGCAGTCATGAAGTGAATAGCCAATTAATCAAGGAGAATTGCTGGCCAAGACACCAAGAGAAACTCCCTTGTCTTTTCAAATAGAGCCACCGAAACTTTAACATCCACCTGAAGTGCATGCAGATGGAACAACACTTTGTTTCATTTAAGGTATGGCAACTCCCACAGTAGTGATTCCTAAGTATGGCCAGCTTATAGTTTTAAGTGAGCTCAAAGTCCTGATGTAGGTCTTGAACATACAACTTTCTGACCAGAGTGGCTCAACTGAGCCAAGCTGATGGTGTTTGTAACATGTCCTCTTTCCAATGGTACAGTAATGCCCTTTTAAGTCAGTTTTATGAACCCCAAATGCCGATCACTTACCTTTATAACAGCGCTGAGTTCAAATACAAATCAGACAGAGATCAAGGTCGCCTCTCATCGCTGCTAGTGACTCCACGTAGCAAATACTGTGTTGTGCTTCCAATCCCCTGTAGTTTTAAAAACCTACCTGGAACTGAAGAGCAGATTCATCCACTGCTGTGTTGAGTCAAAATAACAATAATAATAATCCTTGCGTTGGTATAGTGTCTTATCATGTCGTTGAGACGTCTCAAAGCGCTTCACAGAATATACTGTAAAGTAAATTGACTGTATATTATTGTAGGCAAAAAATTTTTTTGCACCAGCCAATTGCACACAACAGAGGCCCACAAACAATCGTAGATTGAGTGACCAAACTTTCATTTCTTTCTTGGAGGGATTCTTATCCCCAAAAAGCGATTCGCCAATCGACTTAACAATCAGGTTCCTATTTACTGCCAGGCAAACAGAGGCGTGTGGAGTGAGGAAACTTGCCTAAGGTTTCGCTTGCCCAGGAATCGAACCCGGGTCCTCTTGCTTGCAAGACAAGCGCTTTAACCACTAAGCTACAGGACCCCACAATGAAAGGAGAAGGGGGTAGTTTGACATGTTTGAGTTAATCATTTCCCTCTTGTCTTGTTTGCAGTGAACCACATGAAAGTGACCCCCATGGACACAGCCACCGCATCACTCCTGAATGTCTTCAATGGCAATGCGTGCGGGGCCGAGGGCTCATGGCACGTGGGAGTGGAGCAGGACGTCACTCACACCAACGGCTGCGTGGCTCTGGGCATCCGCCTGCCTCACACTGAGTATGAGCTCTTTAAGATGGAGCAGGATGCCAGCGGACGGTACTTGCTCTTCAATGGACAAAGACCCAGCGACGGATCCAGTCCAGATCGGCCTGAGAAGAGAGCCACATCTTACCAGGCACCTCTAGTCCAATGTGCTGCATCTATCTCAGTGCCAGGCAAGTCGATGGATGACAGGAAACAAGCCAAACACAATGGATCAGAGAGAAGCCACCACACTTTTGTATTACTGTTTACTTGTCTGCTTCCTACCCTGGCCAGGCACGTCTATAGCTAAACTCAATTCCCATTTTCCTCTGGTTTCTATGATGGAAAAAAACTAAGGGAAAACTCTGTAACTAGGGTCTCTTTCCTCATCCAGATAGTTTATTTACTTGATGCACTTCAGTGCCTGAATACTGTTGCTCTTTTTGGAAGACGTTAGTCCGTTTTTTCCACTTTGAGTTCCCTCCAGTCACCTGCAGACACGGAACAAGAAGCATCTACTGCACAACAGTAACAGCACTTTATTACTATGGAAGATTTTGTCTGGCACGAACCGAAAACTGCTCGCAGTTTGCCAAATATATATAGCCAAAGTCATCTGCAGCGCTCTCCTCCGACAGACTCTATGCTTCAGGGAACTCCCATGGCATTTTTTTTAATATTGGAAAATTAAACCAGCATTTGTAAATTTGAAATGAAAAGCTTAGTTGTATAATATGCGGAAACAAACCAGGAGCTAAAGGAGCAAGGAGGTGCTGCCTTCTGTAAGACGTCAATACAAATGGAAAAGGAATCTGCGTTGAAAAGAAGGCATCCACAATTCATTTATTTTTCCCTCTTTCCTCCAGGATGCAATGAATTATTGTATCCCTCTTATATACAAGGAAAAATATCATTTCTGCTATGAATTTTGCCTGGCACTTGTTTCTCTCATCATTTGCGGTTATTGTCGTTTAAAATAATAAATAAATATAGGTGTAGTTTCTACGTTATTTATATACCAACCCACAGAAAAGTTCCTGCTGGGCAAAGCCTTAACCGGTTTGTTCTCAAAACTTTGGCGTTTCTTTCGTATATACATGTGTTCCTTGTGATTTTTAAAATCATACTTTCGAAAAGTGCATTAAGGTAATTATAATTACCGGGGAAACATTATTGTTTAATGTTGTGGTTTAAACATTTCTTCATCCTGACTCATTGTTTTCTTGTTACTCTCTTTCTTAACCATTTTCCGCTGAAGTTTAAGACCTCTTCAGATCAAATCAGGGTGCTCAGTTGCTTTTGTTTTTGGGGGTCTCTGCTGATATCCTGTTTTTTTTAAAAATGTCCTGTTCTATACACCAGTAAAGTTATTATTTCAAGTAACGTACAATATTTTATTCTTAATACAAGACCTTTGCAAATCATGCAAACGCCAGTCGGTGTTTCCGTGTTAATTTATGGGGTTTAAACTCAGCAGAATGACACTCGTGTTGAAAGTGAATTAATGATTGATAGAGCGAGTTTTAAAAAAATGCTCGGACTGCAGAACACTCAATGTAAAGGATTCCTCCTGCAATTGAACATCACACAGACACGCAAGAACTCAGCTGTAATGAAACTTCTGGTTGTTCCAAGGTTTCACATGTTGGTGTGATGTATTGAGTTCCCTGCAAGAGATGCAGCCAACATCTAGATGTGATTTTTCCACCATTAAGGGACCATTTACACCGTTTCTCACTTAATCGAGCACTTTTTTACAACTTGCCTGTTGCGCCTCAGAGCACTTAACAGTGACGGAGCTTGACGCTGAGCCGAGAAGAGAGGGGAGGTGACTGCAGCACGGTTGAAGAAGGTCTTCAGGTGTGATCTGAAGACAAAAAAGGGACAAGGCAGAGGGATTGAGGCAGCGAACTCCAGGGTTTTGGGCCACAGTGAGTGAAAGCACAGTCACCGATGGTAGAGCAGAGTGGATGAAGGATGTGTAGAAGGTTGAAGCCGGCTGAGTAAATAGGGCGGGTAGAGGAGAGTGGGAGTAAACATATTGGAGAGGTAGGTAGGTGTCAGGGCATGCAGTGATTTGTAAGTGAGTGTGAGGATCTTGAAATTGATCTGTTCTGAAATAGGGAGCCAGTGGAGCCTGGCAAGGACTGGTATGATGGGGGCGTAGTTTGGTACGGATGAGGATATGGGTGGCAAAGTTCTGAATTAATTGGCTTTTGTGAGTGGTGGTGGCACATGTTTTTTAACGTGATAAAATATTTACTCAATGTTGTACCTGTTGTCAGTTGTCCCAGCAGAAGGAGAACGAATTGGTAATTTTGTAAGGCTCAAGTTGCTGAATGAAATTGCACTTAAATTACAGCCCTGATTCCATACCTGAACTGTGCACACCGGAAAACCAATTAGTTCTGGAATGGAAACATAATTTTAATGTTATTCTGTCGGGTGTGCTGACAGTCCTATGGGATGAAAGAACTTAGCTGTGATGAGAGGCTGGGTAAATTGGGTTATTTCCCTAGTGATGAGGGGGTTAAAGGGGTGATCCAATTGAAGTGTTTAAAATAATGAAGTGAATTAACAAGCTGCTAGGGAATGGTACTACCCTCTGACACAGTGACCCAAACAAGAAGACAGAGAGCCGTAAGTGCTCAGCGAAACCGCTCAAAAGTGCGATCAGAAAATATTTCTTCACACTGACTGTTGTGAGAATGAGGACTGTATTGCCCCAGAAGGGCAGTAGGTGTAGAATCGATTGGAACGCTTAACTGAGCGATGGATATATCCTTGGGTTGTAAAGTTATTAAAGGATATGGAGAAAAAGTAGAAACATGGGATTCAAAAATATACACTGAATTATACAAAAGAATCATAGAAATTTACAGCACAGGAAGCCATTTGGCCAATCGAGTCTAACCAGGAGTTAGAGCAAACTGAATTTTCAATCCCACCCATTTGCCCTATTTCATATCCATTGATGCAATAAAATGGGGGAACAGGCTCGATGGGCTGAATGGCCTCCTCCTGTTTCCATGTTACCGAAAGAGAAAGAGTGTTACTAAATGAAAGTCAAGGGAGAGAGAAGCGAGTTTTTCCTGATGTCTGGCTAACAATCATCCAGGTCGAATTGGTAAACTGACTTCTTAACTGTTTATAAATGGGACATTGCTGTGCACAAATTGGATGCCACGTTTGTCCAGAAATGCACAGTCACTACACGTTACAGTGCATCTTGTGAAGTGCTTTGAGGTGTCATTATTATTATTATTACAGAGTGTCAATTAACCCTTTAAGAATTAAACAGGAGTTGCCTAGAGTGAAACATATAGCAGGCTCAGGTCAGCTAAGCTCAGCTGGAGGAGCCCCTGTTTGAGGGAGGTGGAAAAAAAATCCTAAAAATCCAGCTCCCATTGAACATCCAATGACCTCTGTAGGCAAAGGAGTAACGTGAATGTTGGATAAAAAGACAAGATCAACCACACACGCGCACACACACACGCACACACAGTCAAATAGTGTACTGATATTCACTGCCAACTTCAAACATTAACAACGAACATTTGGCTCATGTTAATCGTACTGCAGAACAAGTCATCATCTTCAGGAAGAGAGGAGAGAAAAATTAGAGGGACAAACAGACATAGGTTGAATGAGGCAACTGAACTAGAATCACTCTCAGGGAAAGAACCAAAGTGGAAGCACAGTTGATAAAGCAGTCTATGACCATTGGTGTTCCAGTCAGTTTGAGGCCATGGGAGGGTTTTGCTATGAATGCAGCTTGTCATGTTAGATTGATATCCCACAGTGCTATCCTCTATTGCCTTCACAGTTCAAAGAGATCGTGCAGTTTTGTTGGAAGATCTATTTGGAGTCTGTTACCTCTGTCTGGAGAAAAAATAAATTACAGAGGTTCCAGGTGTACAAACTTAGTAAATTCTAGTAAAGGTACCTCATTGGAAGGCAGTGCTGATCCAAGTAATCCTTTCCCATTCCAAACTGCTATGTTCAAATGAAATGACTGTATGGAAAGCAAAAGTGACAGCATCAAAATGAGAAGGGGATACGGTTACAATATTCTGGCACTTTCACAATGTGGCAGGGTATCCAGTAAGTATAAGCTTTTCAAGTTCTGAGCTTTTCAAAGCCAACAACATAAGATGACAATATTTTAATGTATTCCACAAACCTTTCACAAGAGGGAACAACAATGAGGGTAATCCCCAGTGTTCAGAGGCATGAGTTATGAGCAATGATTTGACAAGCTGGCAGAGCATTTTTCTCAGCCTTGAAAGGAGACGTCACGAGAAAGGACATTATAAAGGTATACAAGATTTTAAATGGGGTTGATGAAGTGAACCCAAAACAATACATTTAGTTGTACCAGGACATTAAAGCAAAAGGACACGGGTTTAGGGTTGCAAAGGGGAATTTCACAACAGACACCTGAAGGCAATTAACAATTAGAAACAGGTTATCAGGATGGGTGGCTGAGGCCAGGGCACTGGACTCATTTAAAGCACAGCTTGATTGTGTGATGGGAGGACTGCAGGGTGTGTGTGTAGCAGAATAAGATCAAACAAGACAAAGAGCCTTCTTCGTCCAAACGTCTCTTGTGATTGTATGAATTATAAAAGTGGAACTTGATATGTAAAAGCTCCATCTGGTGAATAAACAGCATTATTACAGATTTTTTTTTAAAAAAGTCTACAAAGACTGTTGATATGATCAGTAGGGTCAGTATGATCAATACACTTGGCTCCAACACGCTACCCTGCATGAAGGGCACTATATAAATGAAAGTTGTTGTAAGGAGGGAAAAAAAAGTCCATAGGATTCCCACAGCTGATTCATCAATGCTCTAGTTTGTGATAATCATTGAATGCAAGTTCATGCTTGCGAATATCTCACTGCAAAATTCCCAGGAAAATTCAACGGACAGCAAATCACGAATCCCAAGTCGACACAAGTCCGGCACGGAACCAAACAATATGCTGGAGAGCAGTCATAATTCAAGAAAATAACATGCACAGGCACCCCTAGAAGTTTCAACTTTCAAGTACTATTGTGCCAAAGTGTATATTACTGTCTATGTTAGGCGAGTTTCCATACTCCACACGCCTGTTTACCTAGCAGTAAGTAGTAGCCCAGTTGTTAGTCGATTGGCAAATCACTTTCCAGGGTAATAAGGTACTTATTAAAAAAAAATTGGTCACTCAATCCATGAATGTTTGTGGGACCCACCTTGTGCAAGTGGCTGCCGCGTTTTGCTCACCAAACACATATCAAATAATAATAATTTTTATTTTATTTTACCATTTTACTATTTTACCATTTCTCTTTGACCGTGCCTTCGGTCACCCTCCTACCCCTACCCTTCCCACCCTGATCCCAACCACCAGCTTGAGTGTGGATCCTTGACTGTCCAGTGCCTTGGGACGTCCTCCTGTTCTGAAAGGCGCTAACCAAATGTAATTTGTTGTTGTTAATAATGATAATAATCCTTGCATTTGATATAGCGCCTTATCACATCTTCTAGACGTCACAAACCGCTACACAGAATATACTGTAAAGTGATTTGACTATGTTTTGTGGGCGAAACACGTCAGCCTATTACGCACAGCAGTGTCCCACAAACAGTCATGGATGAAGTGACCAAATTTTTTTTAAGGGATTATTACCCCCGGAAAAACGTTTCGCCAATCAACTAACAACCGGGTTCCTACTTACTGCTAGGTAAACTGAGGCATGTGGAGTAAGGAAACATGCCTAATGTTTCGCCCTGCCTGGGAATCGAACCTGGGTCCTCTCTTTTGTGAGGCGAGTGCTCTAACCACTAAGCTACAGGACTCCAAATGCAAGGATTATTATTTATTATTATTATAAACCTGGTTCTTAAACTATTCCAGGGTCCAATCTACGCCACACCTTCCAGTAACTAGTTCCAACTGTTAACTGTCAGCTGTGTAGAGAAATATTTCCTAGTTTTCTTTTCCTGGAATCGCCCTTCATAACCTGTGTCCTCTTATTATGTTGCTTTAGTGCATTTGAAAGTATTGCTCCGGCTTTATTTTCTGTATCCCTTTGGCATCGCAAATGCCTCTATAAGATCTTCTCTGATATGTATCCTATCAAGATTAGAGAGACGTAGAATCATAGAATATTACAGCAGAGAAGGAAGCTATTTGGCCCATCGTCCTTGTGCCGAAGAGCTACTCAATCAGTCCCACTAACCCGCTCTTTCTCCATACCCCTGCAAATGTCCTGGTTTATCTAGCTACAAAAGTATCCCGAACAGATCCTACAGAATTCTGTTACTCACTGCTCTTAAAGAGAGCATTGTCCATTTATTACAATCTGCTTTGTGTTGCCAATTCTATTT